TGAGACCCATTAGGGGTCATGGGCGGTATACAAATCACATGTAAATAAAAAAATAAAATAAAAAACAGCCAGCGCTGCCTGAAGACGTTTCCATGGTCATGTGGCCAGCATGACTAAACACCAAGGCGCACTGAACGCTGTTACCTTCCCACCGAAGTGGTACCTTTTGATCTACTTGCAATTTCTTGTTTTCGAACTGCTAGGTTGGCAGGAGCTGGAACTAGAGACGGGAGCTCACTCCGTCATGCGGCACACCCGGGTCTCGAACTGTTGAACTACTGACCTTCCACAGCCTGCAGTTCAGCGTCTTAACCACTTGAGCCACCGCAGCTATATCTTGTAGTTTCCCGCAAATGTCTTTAGTCCTAACAAAAGCTCTTGACCCCACAGCATCATATCTCTAATAAAGCATTACACTGCCAATAGTGTGTACGGAGATTGGCTTAGCTCGGGACGTGACAGGCCTTTCCAAAAATGGGAGAGGCTCCACTCCAAGGCAGCAGAGCTGGTGTGAAGCTGCTGCAGAAGGAGGGATCCCTCCTCCAAAATCTCCTTCCTCCCATTCAGAGCAGCCTGAGATGAAATGAAACCCACAACCAACACACAACAAAGCCAAATAAAGACATATAGAAGTACCACTGCAAGGGGGGGGGGATTCATCTAGTGAGCAAGCTTCAGATTTTTACATTATACTTTTTATCGGACCAACTAATTTGGTACAACAGGATAGCAAGCTCAAGAGTTGCAGTCTTCTGCCCTGTGCTACGGACCTTGTCTGCATACTAGCAGGCAGTCGCCAGACTAAAAGGGCATGCAGCCTTCCAGAGGCAGCCTTCTACAGCACAAAGAAGTGACATTTTGATCAATTTCCCCTCTCCCGCACAGCCCAATTTGGGAAGAAAGGCTGGGCTTCTGGATAAAGCTCAAAAAGGAATGCTCGGACTGTTGTGGGTGAAGACTGGGACAGAACCGCTGATCCATAAAAAGCAGAAGCTGTAAAAGACAGGTCTGTCCTGTGCCTTACAGCTTCTCCTCACCCTGTACGTGTGCAGCAGGGACCAAGACGGGGGTACCTCCAGCTGAGAACCCTTGCTCTGGGTCTCGTTCCCAGCAAGAACCGCCTTCCCTGATAGCAGCCAATCCTCTGCCCTGAAGGAATCACTGGAAATCTTATCGGCTCACCCAGGAGGGTTCAGGCAAGTACCCACGGAGAAAGGATACGCTGCAGTTTCCTGTTGTTGAATAGGGGGCTCTCCTGGGCCTCTGTGACAGTCATGGTGTAGAGCTTGTTGAGGCGGCAGTAGGAGAGCACCAAAGAACACCAAGCGGTCAGCTGCTTCTGCCTCGTGTCCACATTGGGCTGCAATCTGAACGCAATAATCACAGGGAAAGACACAGCTCAGCAGATGGACGACCCCCAGAACTCCCCCATACCAATTGTACCACATCAGGTGCCAATCTGGAATCAACTAAGAGAAGGTCAGGGTATCCCCGCCCTGAGTAATCATGCCACAGAGCGATGGATAACTCGTACTCAGTGATGGCCAATGGAGGGAGAACACTGGAGGGGAACCTCAAGAGATTATTCAGCCTCTTCCCTGATATCTTACAGACAAACTCATGCAATGTTCTTTTAAATTCCCACCGTTTCCTAGCAAATCAAATCGCTTCGGTGCAGCTCCATCAGACTCCCCCTCCCAAAAACACTCTTCCGTATTCAATTTAAATGCTTTGTCTGTGGTTTCTTGTGCTTTCCACAGTAACAGGGAATTAATCCCCCTTCGGGGGAGGGCAGGCTACCGGTCAAATAAATAAATAAATAAATAAATAAAATCTCTCAGTCTTCCGCTCTGCAAACGTGTGAGTAGGCAAAAGTGATTGGGGAAGGAAGAGACTGCTTCTGGGAAAGCCACCATGTGCATTGATTGCAGGTCACAGAAAGTGAAAGACAGAGTGGGGAATGACAAAGAACATTCTTACCTTTCTTAGCTTTAAAGCCCTATATGGCAGGGGTCCGACATACCTGAGGGACCGCCTTTCCCCGTATATACCCCAGAGAGCACTACGGTCTGGGTCTCAAAATCGGCTGACCCTCCCTGGCCCGAGGGAGGCCAAGCTAGCTATCACCACGGCCGGAGCCTTTTCAGTGGCGGCCCCTACCTGGTGGAACGAGCCCCCGGAGGAGATCAGGGCCCTGCGGGACCTTTTGCAGTTCCGCAGGGCCTGTAAGACGGAGCTCTTCCGCCAGGCATTTAAGTAGGGGCCGCCGCTACTGCAGGCCCCTACTGCAGGCCGTTACTGCAGAGCTTGGTCTGTGGTTTTAACATATGATTTTAACATCTGACTGTGAGCAGAAACATCGTGGTACATCTGGGCAGTATAAATTTATTCTAGCAATATACCGTCTAGGTTAATTTAACAGCTGCCAGCACTTTGTATTTGTAATGTTTTTATTGTATGGTTAAATATTGTGAAATTTTAATGTATTTATGCTTTTATGGAAGCTGCCCTGAGCCTGTGCTGTGCTGAAAGTGACAGGATGGTGGTTGGGAAGAGGCCCCCACACAGCTGAGAGGTCCAACCCAGAACAGCCCTTGGAAAAGGCGAGGCCAACAGGGGCAGCAAGGGAATCCGTCCGACGTCACAGACCCAAGGAAAGAGGAGTGTGTGGGTGGGTAGAAGCTGTGGCACCAAGGAGCAAGGCAGGGGGGCTATCGGGAGACAAAGCAGGAAAGCCAAGCGCTGCCTTCAGATGGGAAGATGGAAAGGAGACTGGTATGGCACACAAACCAGGTAATGCAAGGAAGGACAGGAAAGAAATATCAACTCTGGAGACAAGGGGAGGAGCCCGAACCAGGATGGGCAGATGTGGCATGAAAAAAGCTGCTGTGGCTGTCAGTGGGGGGTTGTGGGAGGAGAAAAGGCTGCTTGGCAAGCATTTAAGTTCTTCACTGTTCAGTCTTTTGCCACATTCAGACCAAGCTGTTCACCCCAACCTGCACCCTCCTTCGTCTGTGTGTGCTCTTGGGCTTCTGAAGGCACATGGAAGACCAGGCTAACTTTGCTAGCCACCAAGTGACATGATTATACCACCCTGATCCACACCTATTTTAAGAAGAAGAAGAGATTGGATTTATACCCCGCCCTTCACTTGGAGTCTCAGAGCGGCTCACAATCTCCTTTTCCCTTCCCCTCCCCACAACAGACACAACTTGCAACTGACCCAAGGTCATCCAGTCAGGTGCAAGTGGAGGAGTGGGGAATCAAACCCGGTTCTCCCAGATTAGAGTCCGTGCACTTAACCACGACACCAAACTGGTGTTCCACTGAAGCACCCTAACTCCATCACCCCATGTCTCACCTCTTTCGATGACAAACTTAAGTTCCCTGCCGCACCCTCCCACCCTTCTTGGCTCTCCCTGTCATTTCCCTCCATCCTTCCCCATCTCAGTTCATAAAACGACAACCGTTTGCATCAAGGCGCATGTCTCCTTCGATCCTATTCCTTACCCGCTCCACACACATCTCACCCCACCTCTTCATCAGTCCATCCCTCTCATCTGGGTCCTTTCTTCCTGTGTTTCAGCATACCAGTCCAGCCTTTCCTCACTGTACACCAGCACCTAAGCTGGCCTCTTCCTCTCCATACTAAAGGTAAAGGTTTCCCTTGCTCGAAAGCCAGTCAAATTCGACTCTAGGGTTGCAGTGCTCATCTCCATTTCCAAGCCGAAGAGCCAGCGCTGTCCAAAGACATTTCCGTGGTCATGTGGCTGGCATGACTAAATGCCGAGGTGCACGGAACGCTGTTACCTTCCCACCGAAGTGGTACCTATTGATCTTCTTGCAATTTCTTGCTTTCGAACTGCTAGGTGGGCAGGAGCTGGGGCCAGAGACGGGAGCTCACTCCGTCAGGCGGCACAGTCGGGTCTCGAACTGCTGAACTACTGACCGTCCAGTCTGCAGTTCAGCGTCTTAACCACTTGAGCCACCTCCACTTCCCTCAGCTAAAATTCCATTTACCCTCTGCTTATCTTTTCTCCATCATATACCATCCTCTCTGTGCTATGTAAAACTTTCCTGTCCCAAATTATTCATTGCTCATACCGCTCAAATCATATTGCACCCACGCATGCACACATTTATTTATTTATTTAGACTTATACCCCACCCTCCCAGCCTAGGCCGGCACATGAGAGTTTCAAGAGGGGATTGTATAAACCTATGGAGCAAAGATCCATCAGTGGCTATTCACCACAAGGTATAGATGGAACACTATGTGGGGCAAGTGATGCTCTGTCTTCCTGGTGCTTGGGAGGGGGTCAACAGTGGGAGGGCTTCTAGTGTCCTGGCCCCGCTGCTGGACCTCCTGAGAGGGGGGGCAACAGTAGTGGGAGGGCTTCTGGAGTTCTGGCCCTGCTGGTGGACCTCCTGATGGCACTGGTATTTCTGGCCACTGTGTGACAGCGTGTTGGACTGGAGGGGCCTTTGGCCTGATCCAACACTGGCTTCTCTTATGCTCTTATAAGAGGGAATTAGATAAGCATCTGGAGCAGAGGTCCATCAGTGGCTCTTAGCCACA